CAAAAGTAATGGGGTTTGGAGCTGAAGAAAACAATATCCTCTCTCACTAAATGATCTCACTTTAAAAGTAATCATCTGCATCTTTAACCCAGCCTCCTTATGACCACTGGAATTGCTTCTCCCAGAATACTCACAGAACTCATTATCTTAGTGTGTTTTTTTTGCAGGCAGTCATGTTAGTTGCTTTAGTTTGAGCTTATTTAGGGTTTAGCTTTCATTTTAAATGTCACTATGAATGCCTAGTGCCATGAAGCAGTTGTTTATTAAGATATCTGTATTTAATTGACCACTTCTATATACAAGAGCACAATGTTTATTAAAAAAAAAAAACCACTAAAAATATATACCTAGTTCCTATATCTGTAAGAATGTTTTCATTTAGCAAAAGGCTAACAAACTCACAGGTGAAGCTGTCATTAACAGCACAGTAAGAAAACCACATATAAACATTCAAATATTTAACAACAAAAAAAAAAAAATCTTTTTACTGTCTTAAGATGAAGAAGACACTACTACAAACACAGTAAAAAAAAAAATAAGGTCAGTGTGCTAAGTAACACTAGGCAACAAGGGCAGAGGGTTTATTAAAAAATGGTGGTCTTCACTAACAAAGCTTCACACCGTTCACAGGTGCAAATTATTCCTTTCTGAAACACCTCAAACTGTGAGGAAAAAACCCAACAGGGTACAGTCCCCAGTCTCTGAAGGTAATTATTTTTGTGTCATGTTAAGAAGAGATATTGTATTACACATTACACCATACTGTATACTACAGATCCCAAAACTCTCCCTTAGGGGGATTTCTGCCATAGCAAAATCCTTGTATGACAGACTATGTTTAAGTCAGAATTTTGAGGGAACAATCTTTAACTTTAGGTGCAAATGAGGAAATGACATTCATTTGGGGTGTAAATAAAATTCCTTGCCTTATAAAACAAATTAGTTATGTTGGTATTGAAACACCAACCAATGGTCTCATATAATAAGCAAAGTCTCTTTCTTGGCATAGAGAGAAAAAGGAGAAAACAATTACATTCTGAATTTTATACAGACTAAGCTGAAGTTCAGGTTTGAGGGAATAGGTGGGAACAGCATTTATATCACATTGCAGTCACTGTAATTTTAGGGTGAGAGGTCAATTCCTATATTTTGATACAGGGTGAGGCTTTATTGACATTAATGTACTTTGTAAATTAAGTAATGGATCATATTGAAAGCAATTAATTTTCCAGGCTTATCTAACCTGCACGGATTCTCCAAATGGTGGATGGAGTTTGCTAAGTAAATAAACCTCTTAATTGTGTCAGAAATTAATGAGCAAACACAGAAGCAAAGAAGGGGGAATAAATACAGGGCTTTAGCAGATTTGTTGTATTTTCTTTTAGGTAGTGCAGAAAAAAAATCCTTCAGGCAACAAGAATATCTGCCTCACAGAAAGCCAGTCACTACATAATTTATTGCAGTGAAGTCCACATAAAAACAAAGTTCCAAAATGTAGTGACCTGAGACTAAGTGAATATTACAGGTCAGTCAAACTGATGAGACTATTCACTAAACCAAAGGATTACACAATGTGGTTCTCAAACATCTCCAATCTAATTCTGCCTTCTGTGCTAAGAACAAAATAGGAACAGCTAGTCAAGCCACAACATCTTGCACATACTTTGGTATTTACAGAACGGTAGAAAGGAGAATTTCTTTAGGGAAAATGTACACAGATTCAAAAAAACAGGCCAGATTTTGAAACAGCAGGCGCTTAAGGAGGGACATGAAACAGATGGCAGTTCAGGGTGACAAAATGTGGCAATACAAACCATTCACTGCTTAAGAGCAATGGCAAGTGAAGATCCGAGATTTATCTCATCCATTCATATGTGGTGCTAAAGCCCAAAAAAAATGTTGAACCGGCAAATTTGTATAGAATGAGCAAGGAGCACAGATAGCCTTTTGTATCATTATTACACTGTCACCAAAATTACAGCTTTAAAAAAGTCTTTGAAGGAGGCAGCAAATTAATCTGAAACAGTAACTTGAGTTCAACTACAAGCAGGAATTTGGCTGTAAATGTTACCTGGAGAGACAAGCAAAATGCCCTGTAGCTTCAGTACTGCCACACTGGAAGCACTGGTTTGACTGCTAGCACTGGAGATACAGTCAGGTCTTCCAAGTAGCATGTCTTTTTGGAGAATGATGTGAAGACTGACATGGGAACAGAAGTTTTTATTCTCTGAACAAATGTAGCATTACTGTTCATTGTTCTCATTTGCAAGCTGCTTTATTAAAAGACCCAACAGTTCTGAGCTAGTTAAAAAGGAAGTATTAAAGACCTGACTAGGGTACTCATTGAAAAGGGATAAACAGGAGAAATATCCAGAACTGATGCAAGCATAGGGAAGAATAGCTAAAAATTTACAATAAAATTTAGCACTAATACAAGAAAACAGATACTTGCTTCTGATGTATAGCATATTTTCATTTTTATCACCACTCTTAATTTATTAGGAAAGAAACTAATATAAGTTCTTCCTTTGAATATCCTTACTCCTATGTTCTTACCAATTTTTTAACCTAATTCCTAACCTGTTCCTAATTTTGAGCAGCTGCAAGTGTTGCAGCTGCCAAAGTATCACAGGTCTTAAAAAGTTACATAAGAATAAATGTACAAGTTCAGAAGCCCTTCCAACTTGTCCCTGCTTTCTTCCCCTTAAAAAAGCTGCAGCATTAACTCAGGTTTCAGACACCACTAGGTGATAAACACAACTAGTGCCCGAGGCATAATAGAGCTTCAAATCAGCACTTATACTCTATTATACACCAGAGAACCTAACCACACAAACTATAAATCTATGAGTCCAGACTTTTCTATCATTACCTATAGCGGGGAAAAAAGACTAAGCTGCTTCAACTGATTTTTCTGTCAAGGCTATTGCCTGTTAAGGGAGAGTTCCTACATTAGCTAGCTGCTTGTAAGTCCAGTTCCTGTGCTGTTCCAGTGTCCAACTAAGCTTCAATTTCACTGTAATCCTGAAGTCACCCAGGAACATTCCATCTGTACATAGCAGCTGTGCTGATGTCAGCTGTTCTTCATTTACTCTTACAGACTTCCGTCTGATTTCATCTTTCCATTGTTTATATATGCACACAAAGATTTTGCAAATCAATTTTTCATGCTTTCTCATCTAATACAAAGCACTACCAGAGACAAGGAAACCATTTTCAAAAATAGTTCAAATTTTACTGTTCTGAAAAGCTCTAAACACATCAGCAGCAGGTATGTGGAAATTCCTCTGAAACATTCAAATGGATAAGGATGCTTTAATGTGAGCTCTAAAGGAATTCCATCCAATGATGAAACTTCAGTTTAAGTCAGGACAAAGTTATAGTTTGAGAAAATCTATGTAAATCACATTTCTATCTTTGAAGGCCAATTATGATCTCATTAAATCCATTTATAACCATACAAGCTGTTATTTATTTAAAAGTTATTTTCTTGAGAATTACAGGTGATATTTTAACCTGAATCTGGCAAGAGGAGGTCAGATACTGGTATGGTTACAATGGTTGAAGAAAACCACCAAAGGCCATACACCTCCTTAACTGTGCAACCTCCTACAACCCTCTCTCAAGATAATATTTTATCTTACCCCCATGAAAGTGACACCCATCTGTGCAAGGTGCAATTTCTTCACTTACTGTTTAACACCAGACTAAAACCCACACATTTTCCTGACCTCCACTTCTTCAGTACACGGAAAAAATAAGAAACATCGCTTTCTACCGGGGAGAAAGCAAAGCCACTCATGTGAGAGCAACCAGGGAAACAAAACAATACAATACAGAAGAGTTCAGGAGAACAGTAAATTTATATTCTTAAAAAATTAGCAAGTGATCACGGAAGTGTCACTGTCATCAGCAAAACAACCACAAACTTAATATGGTATTTAAACTGACAACTCAAGTTAAATAGTAAAACAGAGCAATTCCTGCAACAACCCACCAACTCACCTCACGTTGCTGACATCAACTTACGGACCTGTCCTAGGAGCCGTGCAGCCGCCAATTCTTCTCAAAGTCCATGCAACAAACAAACTGGAATGGTTCAACCATTAGTCACCACTGCTTTCAGAAAATGCCTTTTCCCAGCTTTCAGTTAAGAACACATTTTCTAAACTTACCCCTAAATCACATTCATTCTTTCAAAACTCAGGGATGCTTTCATGTCTGATAAACCAAGGTATAAGCCTACTTTCCTCAATTTAAAAAAGATATGAAAAATATTTTTGACACTGTTACCTGCTCAAATCCCCATATCCTGCAAACTGGACTGAAAGAATGAAATCCAACTTAAATAACACCACTGCTGAAGGAACAAGTCTGGCTTTCAGAAAATCACATGAAATTGTTCATGTTTTGTTACCCACCTCCTCAGTGTAAAGCAAAGGGATACAAACACCCGAGGACCTATGCTCTTTAGTCCCACTTTCTTGTTTATAAAATCAAAATAATTTTCTGGTTTACAAAAATAACACTTTTTTATACATCTCCCTTCCTGAAACCAAACTGACTCTAGCACAAATGACCAGTTTAGCTCTGGTTGAAGTAGCAACATCAGCAAGAATTTCCCCCAAATTTGCTGATCATTACAGGGTATTTTCTCAAAGCATCCTGTAATAGAGAAAGAGCTGCAGCATAAGCCACAAAGGGTGGACAGAAGGTGAAAAGGAGAAAGCAAAACTTTCAAGTTAAACAAGACAGCTCTTCTGGGACAGGCAAAACAGTGTCAAAAGCCATGATTTTATTAACTGGCTATGAAACAATTAGGAGGAGCTGGTATCTGGTCAAGAAGACAGAAAGGATTACGTGAAGTGAGTTAGGCAGCTCAAATGCTCAAAGAAATCTTTAAGAGAATAGAAAGAGAAAAAATAGGACCATCATATGCCTGTTTTTCGAAATTGTTAGTACCAGGCATTAAAAACCTCTGAAATAAAAAAGTGGTTTTCCACATTTCCTGGCATTCCATAGTTTGTCAGAATACACTCAATACATACACTCATGGCAAGTACAATATAAACAAGAATAATTTTTTTTCAGGTATTTTTATTATTTAGTAACACAAAGGCATGAGTTATTGTTCTAAGGATGTATCAAGAACCCAGGAGTCCAACTGTAAAACTCAGAGCATGACAGAAACATGCTAACACTACGGAGGTAGACAAATATCAAAATAACAACTGTCGAACTGTAACAGGTTTTTAGTTTGGTTTTTGCTTTTGTTTCGGTGGTTTGGTTTCCTAATTGTGATAGGGAGGAGTAAAGCCATTTTAAGAACTTGAGACAGTAACATAAACAGTTCTCAGTGCCTGTTTCAAAAGTATTTGACAGTCCTAAATTTACCTACTACAGAACAAAATGACCAAAAACTGTGGCTGAGGCAAGTGTAAGTATACCTATTACGGCACAAAGGATATCAGACCTTAAATGGACTAGAAATTTGAAAACCAGGTGTTTTCAACTAAAAGCACTGCTGGCACAAAACTCTAGTCACAGATGTTAGAATTAATTTCTGAGACCCACAGATCTTCAGCTGTTAAGGTCTAGATTACTTCTGTTCAGTACACAATTCATGTCTATATCTGTAACAACTACTCAACTTTAAGTTCACCACATACATATTTCCACATATTATAATAGGACTGAATTTGATACAAACTGATTTATTTTTAAACTTCAAAGTTAACAAATGTTACTGTGCTTGCATAGTTTAACACAGGCACATGACTATCAGATCTCTAAAAATACTAGGTTATAAATTCAGCACTTTACTCAATAACCACAGAAGCATCAAGACAAACAAGTTTGATAATCACAGCAAAATAAGATATTAAAAAGCCATCCAACAGAAAGTCAATTTCAGAAAGTCCAGTGAAAATGGCTCACTACATAAGTATGTACTTAAACAGCACCATCTGAACAATTATTTTTAGAATGTACTAGGACTGCAGTGCATTCCAGAATAGTAAGTGACAACTGCCATGAAGCAGTAGCCTCAGGGCTATGTTAAGACTATTGAGTAATTTAATAAGCTGGTGAATTTAACAAAAAATCTAAGTATCAGTTAAAAAACAATGTTTTGTGGCAACTTATTAAAGAAATTAATTGGATTCAAGTATAAGCATCTGGCTAGTTTACTTCAACTGCCAGAAGTAGAAAACAGAAAAATGAAAGTGCTCTTCACCTACTGCCAGTCTGGTACACCTTCCTGCCTCCTATTCTCACACTCAGCTTCAGAACAAAACCTTCCCCTTTCCTAATCTGAACATTAGAACTAAGTCCTATTCTTCAAAACTAATTTCCTATAGTGAGAACAACACAAGTGCACAGGCATGTGTGTGCTGTTCGCTACTGCCAAACAGAAGGTTTTTATTTGAGATCTTGCTAGACATTCAATTAAGTTTGACTACAGAATCCCTTAGGGGGAACGATTAAAAGCTTTCTGCTTTCTAACAAACAACTCCTCACTCTTAAAGAAAAATCTAAGATTTCCATTTTTATAGCTCTCAACAGTTCCAACACACTTCTTTGTGACACAAAGCCACAGGAAACCTCAAAAGGTACACTACTTCCCATATTATCCATTGTGACATTTTGGCTCAAATTTATTTTTAAGTAAATCCAGCAAGGTAGAAGTCTAAATACCATTTTCACAAGAACCTTTATTAATATTGTTTCTAATAATTTTAATATAAGTGGAAAAGGCTTTACAAATATAACAGTCTGAACCACAGCAGAACCCTGTTTCACAGATTCACATGGCATCTCTCCTATGCAAGGGACAGCAAGACCCAACCACATTATTAGACCTGTAAACTCTTAATCTTGGATTTATTGACTTGATCTTCAGATAGGAAGATGCCAGGTTTAGATTTAATAAAGGATATCTATATGACATTGTAACAAAAGGACCGTGGGAGGCCAAACACATTTCCTAAAGAACAATGCATTACAAGTACTTTTCTGCCTAGGCCTCCATTTCTAGGGTGGTTCTGTGTGATGGAAAAAGGAGCCATTTCTTTCCCAATCCCATTTTTTTTGCCAGGAGATCCTGCTTAGGGAAGGCCAAGATCCAAACCCAGTCATCTTCCAGCAACATAAGATCTTCTGCTGAAGGCTTGTGATGCAGTATAAAGGTTAGAAGGTGTCCTGAAGCAATTTGGAGGGAATGAAGAGGGAGAGAGAGTCACAAGATGCACCAAAGTAATAATGCATGTAACATAGTTCCAAATGACTTCAACTCAGCATGAAAGAGGAACTAGTAAAATCTCCTTAGAATTTCATTGCCAGTTTTCAAGTGATTTCTTTTGCTAAAAATCAAAAAGGAATTTAGAATAAACTTCCTGTGCCAGCAATGATATAGCTGGAAAAAGAAAGGTCTGACTGCGGGCTACCGATGTTTGCAAGGAAGAGGCTGTTGCTCTGCACAGCATGAAGCGAGAAAGGCAGAATTTACCTGAGCTGATTCCCTTTCTCTGAGCCTGAGGGATTGCTGATATTGTGGGTTAGCAGCACATCCCCTTAATCAGAGTATTCCAGTCTATTTCCTTCACATGGACAAAAGAACAGGACTTTACAAACCCAGCAGCCACAGGCTCTTCTAAAGGAAGAAACATATTTATGTGTTTAGAACAGGGGAACTTTTTCAGTGCTGGGAATCACGTCAGATTTCAAACCCATTTGATGATCTCTGCCTTAGTGCACATTGAAACCTAGCAGGAGTGCAAAGAGACAGGGAGGAGATGAAAACTGTGTGGCTATGGGCCATACACAATCACTGGCCTTATCTTGGCTCCAGCCACCAGTTTCTGCTCTTGACTTAGTTTCCCGTCTAGAGAAGGGTCACACCAAGAACATCATAAGTGCTTCACAGAACTGAAGTACAAATATGACCCATGGACAGGAAGCTTACACAGAAGCATTCTTTCCAAGTGCCCAGAACATTTTTCTCCTCTCTCTCTCCCCAACACTTTTTCTTTACAATGTTCACACTCTTTCCCTCTCTCAGCTTAGAGAGGTGGAAGACAACATCAACCAAAAAAATGCATAAACAGCATAAAGTCATCCTTCACACCTCAGCAGATGGCAGTTCAAAGGGGCCCTACCTACCTGCAACCCTGTTGTTTGCTTCAAGAACTGTTTGCCCAAGGAAAAAGAGACGAGCAAATCCTGGAAGCAGATCCTTCCCCAAAGGAAGTTTCTTTCTGAGTCTGCAACCTGGAGCTTTTGCTTGAGACTCAGTCCTCTGAGCGGATTCTTTCTTCAAACTCTCACACTGGTTCTTTACTTTTGTGGGCAGCTGGAAAAAGAATGAAGCCGTAGGCTGAGGCAGGGACTCCATACTTCCAGGATAGGGAGGCAGAAAGACTGGAGGGGAAGGAAAAGTGCTAGTTGGTAACTTCTTGAATAATGATCTGTATTCCCTCATTTTCTGCCACACAGAGACATACACATAGTCACTGCAATAGGGGAGGATGACAAGAGATGAGTACTAGTACATGCAGTTTTTTCATGCTCTGATGCCAAAAAAAACCAACCCCAAAGTGTTGAACTGCGAACTTTCAAGACTATTAAGACATCTAGCAACAGATGAGATCAATCATAAGATGTTTTGTCCAGAAAGTTCTCTCAGTTTGTTACAAGTAGATGTAAGTGGGGGGGAGGGGGAAATTTAAGTGCTCATTTCTTGGAAAAATAATCCAAATCTCTCCTCTGTTCACTTTTTCTCAAGTGAATTAAAAATGGCATCTATTGCAATGCAGTGAACAACTCCCCATAATTTCTTTTAAGAAGAAATGGTCATACTTACCTGAATGTTTCCCTCACCAATGACTTCCTAACACCTCCCCCAACTCCTCTGTAAAGGTCTTAGTCCAATCTCAAGTATTCTACTTTATTTGCCAAAATCAGACTGATTGAACACTAATAGCAGCTTAATGCTGTTGTGACAACCTTTGATCTAACCTAGGCAGATTACGATTGCTGTGGAAGACAAGAACCTACTCAAATTCCTGCATCATATTTCTGGATTTCTAAAATACTCCTCTTATTCCTGAAAACCCAAATTCCCTAGGAGTTGTGAATTATGAGCAATAAACAAAAGTAACGTGTAAGAGAGCTGAAATTTTCTTCTTCACAAATCCTGAAAGCTGGTTAAGTCTCCTGTGAAATTTTATAAGTAGCATGGAGCCCACATACAACAAAACAGAACCAGAAATCACTGGACTTCCAACAGCTACAGGGACAGCTGCTTACATATGCATTTACTGGTTATTATCCACTGCAATACCTTCTGCACAACAGCAGTGCCAGGCATTTGCCTGTGGGGCAGTCATTGTGCTGAGGCACTTGAGGCACCACCACTTTACCAGACAGGCTCTTCTTTGCTCTTAAGACATCAGGTAGAGCATGATCCAACAGTTAACCAAGGAGGTACATTACTAACTATGTTTGAAGGATTTCACTTAATTCATTTTGGGGCAATTGGTGGTGTTTCTTCATCCTCTCCTCTAGAGCACACACCTAAACAAAATAGCTTCATATGGTTAGATACCTCACATGCTCTTCAATTACAAGCTTTCTGCTGCTGAAAAAAGCTTGCTTTCGTTCGTTGTGCTCAAAATAATACAAGAAAATTGGGTGAGGGGAAAGGTTTTATAATTAAAACCACAGCAATTTTGCAGTTAGAGTAGCATACAGGAAACATTTTTGTTTTTTAAACAAGTGACAGATAAAGCCATCAAGGACAAACCCTGATACTCTAAAGTAATTAAAACAGAAAAATCAGCAAGTTCTTTCTAGGGAAAGTGCTTGAGCATGCAGAAGGATACTCTGCTTCTTTGTTCCTGAATATAGTTACAGTATCTCAAGCTAAGAGTTGGTAGTCTAAATAGAAAGAGTGGTTCACAAAAATAGGGTTCTCTTTTACTGTAATTTCATTACTTTTCATCAGCTTGAGATCAATATATGTTCCTATACCTTTCAACTGGACAAAACATGGTCTCATTATTTCAGACCAACTTTCAAAGATTAGAGAGTGAGGCTCAGTCTTTTCATCCCACATGCATGTTCTTGTTTCTTCCAATTCAGAAAGTAAGTGATGAACACAAATATAAATGCACTTGGCCAAGAGATGTCTCCAGGCTGATGTTTGTACTCTCCTCTTCCAGTAAAGGAGACAGAAGAAAGACGAAAGAAGATAAAATACAATAAACAGAATGTGTTCAATACAAGTGTCTACTGCTCTGTATCTGCTGGCTAAGAAAAATATAAAAGGACAGTAGCAGTAAAAGAATTATTTCTTCTTAAAGACTGCCTTGTGAATAGAAGGGGTTTTTTAACCAGATAATTTGATAAGTTCCTGAGATTCAAGGCATTGCAAGTTGCTCTAATACTAGTTATCATTCAAAACAACAATGCCATACACAGCACTACAAGCTTCTTGTCAGGACATGCATTGAAGCCTACAAACACTACTGACTTTCTAAGTCAATATTCTTTTCCAGAATTGTTTTCAATATCTTGATACCAGAAGGTATCAAGATATTGAAAACAACAGAAGGTATCAAAGCAGATCAGCCCAGACAAAGCAGCATGACACAGCTTATTGCAGGGTCCTTTCAAACAGGAATCTGTCTAGGGCCTCTATAAGAAATGGTCTTTCACATGAAAGACCCTATTCAATGGAAAAAACTCCAGATCACCTTCAATGACTAAACAGTCTGACATCACCTATTGCAGCTTCAGGAGCATAGGAGAGAGGAATACTTGGTCTTAATTTGATTCATGTCTCTTCTTCAGCAGAAGACACAAAGATCCAAAGTGAAATTTAAGGGGAAAATAAAAGGCATTCTGAGGATTTTGTCCATTGGTGTTCTCACAGAAACAGCTGAACAATTTCTGGAAGATCAATCTGAAACAAGCTGTTAGGAATGACTTGATGTTAAATTCTTCTTCTTTCATCAAGACCACAGTATCTCGCCTTTTACAACCAAGGAAGAACTATTTTTTATTTTTATCCTTTCATATAGAATTCTTCCCTTGAGCAGACTTGTCTTGAACTGTAAAGTATAAATAAGGTTGGTAATTTTTGTGTTCTAGCTATCAAAAACCCTAGCCTGATCGATTCCTACACAGAGATATGTATTTCAGGCTGAAGCAACAAAATCTTTCTGCATATTGAGATAAGAAATGTTAATAAGTACTCCACTGCCCTTACAAAGATTCTACAGAATGAAAAAGAAGTCCAGAAAAGACCATCCAAAGATCCCAAAATTCCTATAAGAAGGATTTGGGTAAAGTTCTTTTGCTGCCTCATATCCATCACCAGAAGTGATTTGTACTACCTAGAAGGGATGTTAAGTCAGCTTAAGCAGCTCAATAACCAGCAGCTCTTCTCAGTCACTGTACTGTAGTTTGTTGATTTACCTCAAGGGCAGGCTCTGATGGGATCCTTTGGGCTGCAGCAGAAAGAAATTATGGCCATGATGACACGAGAAAAACACACTGGTGATCTACAGATAGAGATGAAGCCAGGAAAGCACCAGCAGTTCTGTTTGTGAGCATATGGAAGATGGTAAGGAATCCTATAATCAATATCCTCATCTTCTTTGGGCAAAGAGAGGAATCTCTGCAATGTGTTTCCATAGTGGCCTGACTGTTAATAAATACACCTGGAGGAAAACTCTCTTTATTACTTTCTTCCTTCTCTATAGGGCACATTCCACAGCCAATTCATGAGTCACTGAGGAGAGGTCTCCATTTTTCTGCATCAGTGACCAGAAGCTCAATAGCCAAGAAACTGAAAGTTCAAACAATTATGAGTAAACTGTACAGGATACCATCTGCAAAACAAGCAAAAAATCTCCATATTTGGTTAATGGTACAGAATATAAGCAACAATACTTTTCATATTTCTTATACTGCAGCTCAACAACTGCAGGATCCAAATGAAAGAACATAGAAAACAGGACAAATTGCCACACCTAATTCAAGTTACCTGCAGTCAGGTCTAGTACTTCTCAACCCTCAAACTGAAATTTTAAAGCATTATGCAAGTATTTTAGATCTAAGGTGCAACTACCCCTGCAGAACACTTGCAGCTCTTATAGTTGTCGTCTCCTGCTGCCATTAATTACACCTCTAGACGTATGTGCAGGCTGCAAACCCACCATGGGATCTACACACCAGCATCCAGTTGAACTGTTTTTCAAAATAAACATCACAAGAACAACAAATTTTAGTAAAACATAATTTTCCCAGAAACTAGCCCCAACATGACTCACATATTAAGTATCAAAATGAGTGATATAAGCTGTTTAAATTCCAAGCTATTGAAACTACAAAAAAAAAAAAAGTTGTTTTCAAAAAATTTCTGGGTCAGGGGTTTTTTCAAGGGGGGGGGGGGGGGGGAACAGGAGAAGGAGACTTGATTGAAGAGACGGGCAGAAGTCATTGAACGTTATAATAGCTACATCTGATAATGTTATTTAGTCCCAAGATGGAGAGAATAGGCAGCAAAAACCCTGGTCAAAGTGTTATTTTAAGATTATCATGCAACCTGTCATTAAAAGATAAATATGCCAACAAACAGAATGGCAACAATCTTGACTTTCTAAATTCCAGGAGGTGTTTTAAAAGCATTTGGCCTCTCTCCAGAAATGTTTTGTGCTCAACTTTAAAGGCCTACTAAAACCCAGAGGGTCATAGCATTGTCTACACTATCAGACAATACGTAGTTAAGACTGCATAGGTACCAATCCCTGAGAGACCCTCCATAAACTCCTAGTCTAGGAGTGGCAAAAAGCCCTGCCTTTTCTGAACTCAGCATGACACAGAATCCCAAAACTATATATAGCTATCACAACACCACACATTTGAGAAACACAGCCAATATTTCTTGGCACATATACAACAACAGGAAAACACTAGAGGTATAAAATTGAATGATTGGTTGATTAGAGAAAATACTACCTTTTAAAAACAATTCCCATTAATAGGAGCATCAATTTTATACAAATAAAGAAATGGGTGTCTGCTAAACAATATTATAATTATTTTTCCTTTTTAAAACTGTTTACATTGCAAGAATATTTTTAAATGTCTTCATTAATATGCTTTTTATTTCTTGTCAGCTTTTATGCCAAGTACAGTTGAAAGCAAACCTTTTTTGGCCTAACTAAACTACATTATAATCAGATTAACAGACTTTATTGGCACTAACATACATTTCTGTCATAAAAACAGACCTTCTTTCAGTCTTAGGGAAATTCTATGCTTCTGGGCAGAGTGCATTAGCCAATATTTAAAAAAAAAAAACCTGGGTTTTTTTTTTTTAAGACATCACATGATGGCTATTTGTTTGCTTTATTCTACTTAAGAAAGCCAAGTAGAGAAAGGTTACAGCATTTCTGTATACCTTGAACTTCTTTGAAAAAATTAAATAAAACCTGTAGTTTCTTAATGTTAACAGTGGGTTTTCTATTTTCCTTTGTACCTCTTGGTACATGGCTTGCTCAAAATAATTTGATTCTATTTAAATACAATTAGGTAACAGAAATTTCTTATGCAATTTTTTTAAAGCACTATTTGTCTTACTATGTTTTCAATCTTCACTCAATTCCTACACTTCTCTGGTCAGAGTCTTCTAGACTGGCTATCTGTAGAACCTGGAAGCTGAAATACCGCACACAAGGAACATTAGGAGGAATGATTTCAGTGCTGTTCCAACAGCCACATCAGACTGGATGCTTGATTTTGTGGGGCTCTGGGTGGGTTTTCTGGTTTTTTTGGTGGGTTTTTTGGATGTAGAGTGAGGTTCTATCTGAATTTCCAGACGAGAACAGCTCAAGGCTTTTCTCCAAGTTTTGATACTTCATGACTTCCCTCAGACCCAGAAATGGTGTCTGCCATTTCTGGAGAATTCAAACACAGCAGAGAAATGCCCCTTTCATGCAATATTTACTCCAATATAAATATTTAATAGATTAATGTTAGGAAAAGGCAATATGGATGCAGTGATAAATAAAAGCTAAACAAATAACCTGGGATTTTTTAAGTCATCCGTTTCACGAAGTTTTGCTTTGGAAAGCGCTCAAAAATTGTATTTCATATTTGAGCATTTATGTTCCTTTCCATACCAAGCCCTGATTTCTACAAAGGGCTTCCTTACTCTTAGAGTTAATAAATTTAGAATGTGCTCAGAGCAACAGGCTTGATTCCTTCTTCGTTTTCAGAAGCATTAAGAACTCTACAACCAAAACTGAGTTTTCTAGTAACTGTTACTGCTCAGGCACAAAGTGATGTCAAATGCTATTGTAAGCTGTCTTAGTTCTTCAGCATTAGCAGGTCTGTGATGCAACAGAGGCTTATTATTGTCTAACATGAGCAGTTGACAGTGAAGACAAACTGATTTAGTCATGACTTGCAAATGATGTGCAAGCACACCATGATACACCTCTGTAATACAGTCTGACTCTCAGCTTCAAGATACAAGTTTAAAAAGTCTCATGTGCAGCCAGTGATGTTTTAGATCAGAATTACATTTTTATATTTTTACCTAGTATGTGCTAACAGTACATGAAAAAAGCATTCTAAATGGTCTTGCACTGCTACCACCATACTGTGGTATACTGTCTTTAATTAGCTTATTAAATGTTTTCTGAAGATTTGCTGACTTAACTTTCCTTATTGGACTAGTGCCTCAATTCACCCACATTTCAGTATTAAATTAAAATTGCGTCATTTTTTCCAAACCGCTTGGAATAAGACCATCACAAGTTTTATTATAAAAATGTTTCAGTCAGCTGAAGTAAAGGCCATTTGAAATGTCTAATTTTGTTCTGCTTATGTAAAACTATTTGCATTGAGTTGTCCCCTTATCTTCTCTCCATGCAAGCACCTTCATACCTACCTGCTTTGATCAGCCAGAACTCCAAGCTTTTGCACTAGACACAATTAACTTTGGCAGTGCCTCTTCACAGGCATACCAGTGTGTAGTGTTTGACTGTCATTCTGTATCTGTTGAAATATTAGCACTTGATTTAGGTTGTACACAAGAAAAAAAACAGTATCAAGTCACAAATAAAAGAATACATACAAAACCACTGATTTCTAGGCTAGGCATACCGTCTTCACAAAAATTATTCAGAATAGGGAAAAAGACAGACATCAAATAACCGTACCAAAATAGCAACTTACCCCACTGACTGATCTGGGCTGGAGAGTGTTTAGCCATACACTGAATCTCACAGGACCCTCTTTCCTTCATTTGAGTCGAGATTTCATTGATAAAAATAACCACAATCCAGGGCAGATAGAAAAGAGCTTCCCACGCACTCAGGCAAACATGCAAGACGGTATCACAGAATCGTTATGGTTGGAAAACTTAGGAACCCTCTTGCAAACAACATGGCCTTTTGAATCATTACCTAACATTTCTGTATAAGATGAATATCTACAACACGCAGAGTTTATTTTGAAGCAACTCTGACAATAACATACAATGAAGGCGTTCTTGACATGACTCTTTTGGCATGAAATTAGTCGCCTCATCTCTGATTTCTGTACCAAACACATGTAAAGGTCAGCGTTTCCTCGGAAAGAGTTGTTATATTTAATAAAATGCTTCTGCCTAATACCAAGTCGCTCACAACCACAATCAAGTAATAATTTGCTTTCATATTTACTGCAGTTCATTACAATAATGTGCAATAAAAGATACTCTGCATTAAAAAAGTTACTTGGAAGATGCTTCCCATCTCCAAAGCTGAGACATAGAGCACTGGGGCAGGGGAGGACATGGAGAAGGGTATAATTCCACAACTCCAGTGGAATCACTTGATCACCTGTTAGAAGCATGCGGCAAACTGTTCTCAAAGAGCTAATAATTTCACCATGATAACCTTGGCCTTTAAGGAAATGAATCATTAACTGGATAGCACAGATTTTTGAACTCTACTATATCTAGAGTTCTTTAACTGTAGCAAAACAATACTGAGTACAGACAAAAAAATATATGTAAATATATGATAGGCATTGGAACTATAATATCTTTAAGGTCCCTTGCAGCACAAACGATTCTACAGTTCTATTAATCTAGATGCAATTTAATAACAGTGATAAAAGACATTATTGACAAAGCTTAAGTATTTTAAAGGGAAAGTTAAGAGAGAAAATGTGAGCATTAATGTGAGCATTCTTTTCACACACTACCAATCCATCTTTCTTCCCCACTCCATTCCCCAGTATGCATTAATACATATTCCTTTCCTCTTTTTCACCACTAACATCTGAGCAAACTGTTACTCTGAGCAGTGTCCTAAATAATAATGTAAAAAAAATTATGTCTGTTCAGCAGCTTGCAATCAGAAAAGCCAATATAATCTGATCACCCTGTTCTCCAGTTATCATAAGGCAGATTCAAACTACCACTACGCATTCATTTGCGGCATGAATATGTAGCGAATCCAAAGCTAGTCTGATGTAAAAACATGATACTATGGACAAGGACATCGGTAATCCACCTGCCCACGGCCCAGGCAAAGTACACAATTCAAAGGGAGGAACCAGAGTTACTATGAGGAAGCCAAATTCAAACAAGCTTAACAATCTGTCTCTGAGTTGGAGCTAGCATTAAACGCAGAAACGTAGAAGTTACAGGAAAAGGAGACTCACAGCTAATGTAGCATGTTTGATTAGAATCATCAATTTTGTTCAGAAATTGACAAAGTTAATAGAAATTTATTAGTTCACACACATGGTTTGTAACTCCATGGACTTGCAAATTTCTAGTTATTACATTTAAATTGTTTGCAAACATAAACCTCTCATACTCAACAAGATTACTGCCTACTGCATAATTCTTACTGGGTCTTCAAAAGCAAAACAAAACCAAAATAACAAAAGAAAACAAGTACTTCTATGCACATTCCCCACAAAACCACTTTTGAAGCCACTGTTAATTTTATATCCAGTGTCTGACCTCGAAGAACAGAAGAAGGGACCAATGAAGTAGATGAGCATGGTCCTTTTTTTGCCTCCACAAGTACAAGGTGAGGAACATCAAGAGGCATCCCAAACATTACCCATTCTGATGGACAACCACCAGCTATCCAGACAGCACATCCCAAGCGGAGAGAGCAGTAGCAGCCCAGCCAGGATTTCTTTTCAGACAGTCAGCAAGCCAAAATACACAAAACAAAAGGGAAGCTGCAATGGGGAATATGGGAAAGAGATACGAGAAGAACTAAAAT